ATATAAATTAAAACTTATAGTCAAAGTTACCTTAAAATTACAATGTTACGGTGTCCGCTGATAAAAAGACTTCCACATCTGTATTAGTACAAAATTTCTTCTACCAAGAATACTTAATTCGACGTTGACAAAAGAATATTAAATTTGGGAGCAGTGTTGTGAAGGAACGTCTTTGTCGTCTGGCTGCGATACACAGAGTGATGGAAACGTTGGGGAAAAAGTGGGGGATTGGAAATAGTTAGGAAAGGGAAATAAGAAGAAAAGGAGGAAATAGGTTAAGAGAGGGAAAAAGGTTGTATAATAGGAAGATAGAATTTGTGTAACAATTCAAATTCACTTTGCTTATTTAGGTCCTGGCTTTGCTTTTAATATGAACCATTTCAATTGTTAACCATTTTTTATAGGAAGATTCCTTATCAAAGATCTTTACATTGCTCTAATCCAAATTGTGCTTGCATTTAATGCGATGGTTCGTGATGACAGTTCGAGAGCGTATTTTTATGTCTAGCTTATGTTCTTGCAATCTAGTCTTTAACTTTCTCTTTATTTGACCCACGTAACTGGCCTCGCAATCCTCATAAAATATTTTTTTAAAACTTGTAACTTTTTATTATTATTTTCTTATTTTTAATTTTATTTTTCTCTTTATGTAATTTTACCTCTTATTAATTGTAATATATTCTTCGGTTAATTTTAAAGAAATGTGTCGACTCTTACTTTGCCCTTTACTTATTATTATTGAAAATATTTTTTAAATCACCCTTTGTGATAAACCGTCTAATTGGTCTTTTCAATAAAACTTGAAGATATCCAAATTCTAAAATCTTTTTTTGCAATGACTACAAGCATAATTTAATAATAAATTTTCCACTAAATAATTTTCAATCCAAGAACAATAAATTCATGGTGGAACCAATAAATAGCGTTTATTAGTTTAGCAGAAACGCCACTACATCTCGTGGGCACCTATCTTATAATAGGGGGCTTTCCTCTACTATCAAAGTTGTCACTAATTTAATTATATAGCCCTGTGTTATAGCCTACTAGTTCCATCCGTCCATTTTTTAAAAAAGTTAATAATATACGATAACAAAGACAAATAAATAAAAAAAATCTGTTAAATTTTATTAAGTAAGAATTACACTTACTATCTAAAAGAAAATAAAATATCTCAGACAATTATATACGACTGTAAAACTTTATATTATATATAATAAATATTGTACATAATAATGTATAATATATTATTATGATGACATAAACAAAATCATAAACAGAGTCATTTATAAATAGAATTTTGTTTTAACAATAATACTTATTAAATAAAAATAAAAAACTTTTTTGTGAATTAATGGATGTTAAATGAAAAACAAAACTTGCATTTTGAGGATCTTTATTATTTGTATTTTTGTTCTCTTTTTAATTTAATTCTACACAAAATTATTATTCGTTTTACAAAAATAAAATATCTACCGACTATAATCAATATTACTATTAAAATTCATATAATCGAGTTGTTTTAATTATTTTACTGTTTACTAAATTCCCTTCAATTTTATTATATTAGTGAGAATTTTATAGGAAACTTATGTAAACGATGATTGTAAAATGTTATATAATACAAAAAATAGAGCCAGTGTTGTCGAATACATACAGTCGAAAAATAAATGTAAAGATTTGTTAATTGTTGCACAAAATCTATTTGTCGAAATAAATTGAAAAAAATATTTAAATTGAGAGCGTGCGATTATACATGAGTGTGTGTGTCGGGTGAAATGTTGTATGAGAAATCTCGAGAGGTCTAATTTTTATGAAAAAATGATAAAGAGACAAAGTAATCCAAAATAACATAGAAAACCGAGCAAGAAAGATTTCTTTTTACTTATTGTATTTTAAATTTATTTTTTGGACATACATGTATATACATTTTTTAAATATCTTTCTCATAGTATTTTCATAGACATGTAATTACATAATATTTCTTTATACAAATATACATTTTTAAGTTAATTTAATATCTTTGGCGGCATCGCGACACAATGAGCTATGTATTTAGATGTATAGGCTTATGTGTGGATCTGTGTATGATTGTATGTGTCGAAACCCGTCGGACTACTGATACTGACTTTTTTTTTTTTTTTTTTGACGAGGAGGAAATGCCTACGCACTACCCTCCTCACCCCCCGGGGAGAGGGCGAGGAGGAGTGTGGGACTTGCACCCACTAAAACCTCCCCGAGTGCCTTTACCTAGTTTCCCTTTTGCTCCATAATTAGGGGTGAGGGGGGAGTCTTTTACTCTACTAGGCGAGAGGGAGACACCACTTCCCCCTCGCCTCGCTCTATCATGGAAGGCAGAGGTCGCCCCGCGAGTACCCCGCTCGCAGGGCGGCCCCCCCATCCTCTCCCTCGCGCATTAAAGATTGAGGATTGTAAATTCAAGTAGTAATTAGTAAATTTGTGAGCAATTAAAAAATTACTATATAACAATTTTATAAGTCATGAATTAGAAGTAATACATATACGCTGAATATGTTTAAATGTCAGTTTTAAATACAATTTACTTGACAAGAAAAAATTTTATCCACTGTTCTAAACACATATAATTTTCGAAAGAACTGATTAAATTTTTAAAATCATGTACTCAATTAGCCGTAGTGATCGCCGTAGCCTAGTTTACAAAAATTAAAAGATTAGGTCAAAACAACCAAAAAATTTCTTGTATTTTAATATTGATAATTGATTATGATTAGTGTACATATTTTATTTTCGATCTTTTTGTAAAAATGAATTTTATCTTTGTATGAAACCTAAATGTAAAAAAAGTATTATATTCTCAAATATATATTAACTGCGCGAGGGGTAATAATAACTGGTTTCTTTTTGGATTTTTGGAGAATTCAATCTTGTAAACGGATCGAAATTTGTTGAATCTGACCACTTGTTTTATAGTACTGACGGGAATAGAATCGTAATTATGCAACCACTCTAACAATTTATCACACTATTTCATCGCAATAGTTTCATTATCCATATCGTCATCATTGTTATTATTATTAACTGCATTAAATATCACTTGTTATTCGATTTCGGCTTCTCTATTCGAAGATGGTGTATGTCGATGATGAAGACGATCTATACTATCAAGTCTTCTAGAGCTTCTGGATGTTCTTGGTTCATTGTTTGCGACGTTTGCATAATTTTCGTTTGCAACGTTTGGGTTATTTGCATTAATGTTTGCAATGTTTGCGACGTTTGGGACTGGGCTACGGCGATCACTACGGCTAATTGATGGCATGAATATGGTCGATATTCGTTCCTTCCCATATTAGGTTCCCCAATTGATTACTTGCAGCTGTTGTTGTAGTTGCTGTTGCTGTTGTAGCATATTCAACGCTAACGACGTACCGTTGGTCCTAGCCAGAGTTTCAATAAAATTCGTGTATCCAGAAAGAGCATAATATTCCGAATTCTTCGCAAATGTAGTTAATATGGCTGCTGCCACATTTGACTTGGTCGTATCAGGCAAATTGGCACGGTATAAATACGAATTATATATGGTTGCATCATTGACTATTGATTGTCCAGCCGATGTTGATGGGATATTACTCATCGTGTTGGTGGCAGAGGTATTCTCAAGTTTTATTCTTTTTTGCGACGGTCCGACTTCAAATTCATCAACTCTCTCGGTAACTGCAGAAGTTGATGGAATTCTTTACATTGCTTGGGAAGTTGTAAATGTCGATCTCGACGATGAATCACGCACTGCACTATTTTTACTGTTATCGGAACTAGACGTTAGAATTTATTCATAGCCTGTCAAGGATGTTCCCAGCAGTCGTTGCAAAGGCTCTCATATTGTTTAATTGCAATAGTAATTTTTGTTTACGTTTGCACCACCCTCTGAGGGTGGATTCGGGCACGTTGATGCTGCGTGCCACTGCAGCTTTGGATTCTCCGTTGTGAACCCTATTAACTGCATGGATTTTTGTCTCCGGCGACCTCAACCGCCGTTGTCGCGCCTGCCGTGATCTCTTCGAAGGATCTAACGGCGTTTCTTGTTCATCCCCCATGTTTCCTAGTACAGTAACACTTGAAGACTTTGCACTTTGTTTCGCTGATCTTTTTTCCCCGATTCAATGCGATTAATTTTCAAAGCAGTATTTAACTGGCTCGCGATTGATTTTTAAAATCAAGAATAAGTTTTCAAATTATATACGTTTGTTCGTTCCGGCACTGAAGATCGCGCACCGGCTTCAAGAGTTCGAGATCAGTTTTCAGTTTTCACCACAGCGTATTTCTCTTACTTGTCCAAAGATACGCCTTTTTTTTGGCCCAAATTCGCGAACGTAGATCGCGAATAATACTACCGATAGATGCGGCGTTTGTCTCTACGTTGCGTCTGTCTTTACGTTCTCTCGTGGATATATCACGTTTTTGGCCCAAAATGATCAACGCGATGCTCGCGAGCGCGAATGACATTCCGAAAGATGCGCGTTCGTTTCCGCGTAGCGGTGTCTGGTTTTCTTTCGTTTCTCTTACGATACGAGCTGAAAGCACGAGACGACTTTCTCTAAATTCTTACAAAGGCTCACCAGATATACTTCGTACTACCGTGTCTGTCCGAATACTCGGTATTTTATCGTTACGCCGGCAACGTTGCATTCCTCTTTATCCACCCTATCATCCTCGGCGAATCGTATCTTCCAGCTTCCTGTGCTCTCCGTCTCTTTTTACTTCAACGTTTGACCCAAATTGTCGCGCAACGTTGGCACGTTTATGCTCGATCCTAAGAGGGATGGAGATCTGGTATGTATCGAGGTTTCCCCTTTGCCTCCTCTCCACCTCATAATTGGGGGGAGTCTTTTATTCTAACAGACGAGAGGGGGATATCATCTCCCCCTCGCCTCGCCCTTTCGTGGAGGGCAGAAGTCACCCCGCGAGTACCCCGCTCGCAAGGCAGCCCCCCCATCGTCCCCCTCCCGCGGTTAATATACATATAAGAATAGAATACTTTTTTTACATTTGAGTTTATATAAAGATAAAACTCATTCCTACAAAAATTAAAAGATCAGAAATAAAATATGTACACTAACCGTAATCAATTATCATTAAAATACAAGAAATTTTTTTGTTGTTTTGACCTAATTTACATCATTATGTTGAATATTGCTAACTAAATATTTATTAGAATTAATTATATTTTTTTCTCAGTGTGAGTATTCGCTATGCGATTTGTCAAACATATTTTCAAAAACGCAAACAAAAAAGTAATAAATATAATAAGATAGAACGCATTTAAACATAGTCTCGGTCCACAACCTTGCTTTAAGAGATCTTAAGTCATAAGTCGAAAGAGATTAAGTAATAATAATTTCTGTCTTTAAACTTTTTGCTCAGTCTTTTTAGGCTTTAATCGTTAGACTTAAGCGAAACTCAATTCTTACCGCCTAAAAGCATAAGTTCTGACCGATATATTATTACTTACGACTTAGGGCCTTTTAAAGCAAGGTTGTGGACAAAGCAGGACTGAAAAATTTAAAATTAATTACAATGTAATCTAACCTAGATGATAATTCATCTAAATACTTTGGTAAAATAGTTTCACTTACATATTCAATTAATATACATATATACATATACAAAAAATTCGGCAACTATTACTAAATCGTATGATAAATATAACCAAACGAATTGATAAATACAGCTAAATTGCACAGTAATAAATATTGAATAATATGGCAAATATTAGTAAATTAATCTATCATAAAAAATTCGAATTTTTACTTATTTGATTTAATGAATATCAAGTCGTTTGGTCATAATTACTGTATGATTTAACAACAATTATTAGTTATTGTTAATTTGGTAACTACAGTCAGAAAGACTGTTGGCAATTATATAGATGACATTTATCTTAACATATTTGCTTTCTATATAATTATATCTGAGCTTCGGAAACTATCTGGAAACGAATAATTTGAGATTTTCTTTTTTGTATATTTCGTTTTTCAATGACATCGTGCAATCCTAATAATCTGTTTATATAGACGATCAGTCAACAAATATTAATTTGATATATTTGAATAACAACGGTATGTTACATATAAAGATTCTTTATATGTAACATAAATAAACAAACTAAACGGCGAAATAAGAATCAGAGGGCTCAATTCGCCAGCCGAAACTTGTAATGGTACCTTTTCTCTGAATATTTTTATACATTGATTCACGTCTTTCTACATCGTTTAACTTTATGTATCTTTGATTAATGTTCTTTAATTATATGTGTTCTATTTTATGCGCTGACTCTTAATTCGCCGTTTAGTTTGTTTATTTATGTTGATATATTTAAAATGTTTAATTCTTTTTATTATTTAGAAATAATAAATTTCTAAATAAACCTAAATGTAACACTAGCATTAGAAAAAAATATACATAGAAAAAAAGGAATTTCATCGCGTTCGCTGTACGATTTGTCAAATACATTACACGATATTTTCAAAAACGAGAAAAAAAATGAAAGTATTAATTACAATAAAAATAATGCATTACATCTTGGTCTACAACCTTGCTTTAAGAGGTTTTAAGTCATAAGTCGAAAGAGTTTAAGAGACAACAATCATTGATATTAATGAATGATTTGGTTTTAAGTATCAAATTGGAGCAACTAAACGATAATTATACTTTTCTATATAGATAATCATTATTATCAATCACTTAATTATTATTATTATGTTTAGTAATACTTACTAAATATTTTGCCATCAAAATTTAACTAGACTTTTGTCTCAATATATCTAACGCGTAATAGATATATACAATATTTATATACATTATATATATAATTACAAATATGTACTACATATATAATTGTTACAGCTAGCGCATACCATTAGTTCTTTGGAGTTCCTTTTTTGACTTTTGGAGAACCTAATCTTGTAGTCGAAAGTTGTTGTATGTGTTAGTACTTACAGGGGAACTATAATGATGCAACCACTCTAACGATTTATCGCAATATTTCACCATTTCGTTGCATCCCGGTGGCAAGACATCGGAATCAATTTTTGTCGCAGTCTCGTTATCCATATCGTCATTATTATTATTCACAGCATAAAATGTCAACTCTTTTTACGCTATTTGGAGGTACGTGTAGATGGTAAAGACTATCTTTTACACTGGTAAGACTTTTACCGTTTCTGGATTGAGGAACGTTTGCGACTGAATCACTGCTGCTAGTCGACGTTGATGGTATACTGAAATTAAATATGGTATCATTGACCATTGACTGTCGAGCCGACGTTGAGATATTATTGACCATCGTGCTGCCGGCAGAATCATATTCTCGAGTTTTTATTTTTATTCTTATTTTTATTCTTTTATGGGATGGACTGGCTTCAAACTCTTCAGCTCTTTTTCTGGTGACTGCAGAAGTCGTTGGCAATCCCAGCATCGTTGGAACGATGGCTTGGACCGTTGATGTCGATCTCGATGAGGAACCACCCACTGCACTACTGTTACTATCGGAACTCGATGTTAAAATTTGTTCATAGCCTGCCAAGGATGTTACTGGCAGTGTCGTTCCAAAGGTTCTCATATTATTTATTTGAGATAATAACTTCTGTTCAGATTTACACCACCCTCTGAGGGTGGACTCTGGCACATTGATGCTGCGTGCCACCGCAGCTTTGGATTCTCCATTCCTAACCCTATTAACAGCGCGGATTTTCTCCTCCGGCGACCTCAACGGTCGTTTCTGCGCCTGTCGGGATTCATTTTGCGACACTGTACCTCTAGATGCACTTGGCCCAGGATCACTGACGTTCAAATTGTTCTCATATCTGCCGGGTACCATGTAATTTTGAAGGCTGATGTTATGATGACTACGATCTCTTAGAGCAGCAGATCTTTCCAAATTTCGGAAGAGATCTAAGAAGGTTTCTTGTTGATCCAGCATGGTGTTCTTCCTAATAACAATAACAGTTCGATACTTTGCTCGCAGATCGTCTTATCTTCTCTCACCGATTCAATGTCGATTAATTGCGCTTCGATTCCGCAAGAATCCAAGATCAATTTTCGCCGCGTGTTTCTCGTTCTTGCCAAGGATCCGGCTTTTTTGTCCAAGTTCGTGAACGTAGATCACGCGATCGCGATTCGCTAATAATACCATGAGATAGCGTCTAGTTTTTTTCTCTTACGATACTGATCACTACTGTGACTCACGAGACTCACTAGATACTTACTAACTGTTGTACTAACAGTCATTCGAATACTTGAGCGCGATGACCATTATAGAATTGCCTCCCCCTCTTCGACAAGACAGTCAAATAATCAATAAGAATTTGGACCTCTCCATCACTATTACGCGCTACGCAAGGATGTATTCTGTATCTTCCCCTCTCCATACTCCAGCGACTCATGATGCTATCCCCAGTGATTTCCTCTTGCAGCTTTCTGTGCTCGGCTCTTTTCTAGCGAAATAATAAATTTAACAAAAAATTTTAGTATATATATATATATATATATATATATATATAAATCAAGATTATATACCTTTCATGCTTTTCATTTAAATTCTTCAAACTAACAGAAGAATATTTCAGTTTTAATCAATAACACAATGTCATATCCTCGTTAAAAACACGCAAAAAAAGAAAACAATGGAAGAAAGAAGTGATCTGTCAAACATTCGTCTACAGAATATTTAAAATATGGTCGCAATCCGTACATAATAATATTCTGAAGTAGATAAGAGAGATACTTAACAAAGAAATATATGTCTCTCAATAAAAATGTGAGTTATTTAATAGCAAAATCACATACATGATTTGATATATTTGCAATTTAATTGTTGATATATATATATCTTAATTAACGGTCAAATACATATTTGCCTTTTAAATATTAACGTAAGTAATAAAGTAAAAGTTAAGTTCGTAATAAAGTTAAAATCTTTTTTATTACCAAATATTTATGAATAAATAACTGAAAGATCAGAGTACATGTGTACAAATTTACGTTCCATATACGCAGATATTATCCATCAATATTCGAGTCTGAATTAAGATAAAAACACTAGTTCTGCATCACTTTTTATATTTAAATAATTATAGTATTTTCCATTAAATAGTACATATCACAAGATTCTTTAGCATTTGTTTAAGTATCAATTGAATTGAATTTATTAATTAAAGCAACGCATTTTATTGATGTCGTTAACTAATTAAATGTGCGAGGTTAACTAACGTATCTTTAAAAATTCATTTAAAGTGTAATATCATAAAAATAACCTTATGGCTTTTATAATACTAAGTAAATAGCATTAGCATTTTCAAGAAAGAAAGAATCAACGTTATGTTCAGTGAGATTAAATGTGTCCGCCTAAGTGTTGTTTAATGGCGCACATCGCACAAATTATTAGTTTTTGTATCAAATAAAAATATATTTACATTTATGTATCTTTTTTTTTCAGGGTATCACGTTATTGCACACGCGTTGGAAAATCTGAAATCACTGCTTTCGAATGTAAATTCTTTCAAGCTTTCTTTTTAGTCGACATGAAATTGTAACCTTTTCTGTGTATTTGCTATTTTTCAACCATCGTGAATCCTTATTTAACTTTAATAATTATTTCATTAATTGCACGTGAATTTTTAAGAAGAGTGTTAATTTACGTATTTTATTTGACAAAAAAGTAAAAGAATAGGAAAGTATAAGAATTTCTAGTACCCATGTTATTTATTTAGATCAAATTTAATTATATTGTTGTAAATGTTGTTAACTTGTTCTTTTCTTTTATATTTTTTCTTTCAGATGGATTTATTAAAGTATAAATTAGTCGTGCGAGCAAAAAGTTACTCAAGAAGTATAGAAATTGTGCCTTCTGTGTGGCATATATTATGACCATTCTCTGAATAAATTATTTTCTTATTATTTCCTGAAAAAGTAATAATCACCGATTACAGCGCGAATTCCTAAATGTCCTCTAATTTGATTATTAATGTTTAAATTATTTTATTATAAGGAATCTCTATGGTTTTTATAATTTTTCTTAGACTTTTATATGAACAGAATAATGAGATCAATCAATTGGAAAAAAAAACACAGAATCGTTTATTTATAAAATTATCCATTTCGCATACATATTTTTTTAAGCAATTATGTATTTTCTTTCCATCAATTCATCTCATTATTCTGTTCATAAAAGTCCGTAAGATTTCTGTACAAAATGTTACAAAAGTTAAAATATAGTATAATGATTAATATAGTATAATATCGGTGGCTATAAATACTTTATCTTTTACTTTTATTTGAATGATATTTTATACTGTACTTCAGTTTTAAAAAGTTAAGTAAGTGTTCACGCTGTTATTAATACACATAATACTTTACTAGACTAATTGACATCGTTTTTGTCGTATCCAGAGATTGTAATTATACTAAATTTAAATTAGTGAGAGAATATTCATCAAATCTCTAATTACTCTTGAATCAATATTATATTGGGATGTTGTCCCACCTTTACCTTTAGACTAGCGATTTTTGCTTAATTAAAATCTATTTTTTTAATCTATTTAAGTTCTTTATTTATTGTCATCTTGTTTGTACTGATGATGGTCAAATCTTGATCAAAACGTCTACTTATTTATTTGTAAATTTTAAATATATGACTTGTGTGTTAACATCTATTGTTGTGGCTGTATGCTCTTCATTATTTATATTTTGTAATTGTTTAGCCACCTTCAAACAACATTTTAAATTTATTAACTTTTTGATAATCATACCTTAATACTTTTATGAACAGAATAATGAGATAAATCAATTGGTAGAAAAAACACATAGTTGCTTATTTTAAAAAATTATTCATTTTGCATATATATTTTTTTAAAGCAACTATATATTTTCTTTCACAAATTGATTCATCTCATTATTCTCTTTGTAAAAATATTAAGGTATGATTATCAAAAATTTAATAGTTTACTAGTTATTTAACATTTTATGTCAATATGTGCCAGAATAAAGTATCTCATAAAACAATATATATAAAAGAAGGGCAAAAAGCCAGTGATGTAGTAATAAATTTTAATTAATCATAAAATTCATAAAATTACAAAACAGCCAACAAATGTTTCGATTCCGCTCGAGTCATTTTCAATGTTGCGGTAATATTCAAACATCGCTATAAAAATATCTATGGTATTACATTCTTCGTGTAATGCCTTGCGAGTTAGTTATATCATAATTCAAAGTACTCAGAAAATCAATATACTAGAAACGTGACCGTAAACAAAACATCAATACTTAATACATGCGAATTAATAATATAATATATATAATATAATCATATACCTTGTCAATATCGGTAAAAATGTTGAGAGTCCGTTAATAAAAAAGAGAGAAAACACAGATAGATGGTGATCCATATCGCACAATGGTTTTTGTAAAAATCTGAAGCAAATTTGCAAGAGTAGCGAACGTCTGACTTCCACAATATCGAATAACGCAATGTCGAAAAGGAAAATACTGATCGAGAACAGAAAACAGTAAAAGGGGAGGGGAGGAAAAGAAAAGAAGATATTAGAAAGGAGAAAGAGAATGTATAATGTTACGCTTCGGGCAAAGACTTCGTGTCATTTTGTCTGTTTATTCCATGTTTCTGTTTTAATGTGTATCATTTCAGATATTAATCTTTTATTATATATAAAGATTCTATATCTAATATGTCCACACTTTATCCCGTTTAAAATTGTGATTCTCCTCCATACGGTGATTAGAGATCACCGATGGTGATTTTGAATTTATATTAATATCTGAAACATGTTTATGCAATCTAGTCTTTAACTATCTTTTAGTCTGGCCAACGTAACTAACATCATTATATACATGATTATATTATATATATTATTAATTCATATTAAATATTAATGTTTTGTTCACGGTCATGTTTCTAGAATATTGTTTTTCTGACTATTTTGAATTCTGATATAACTGACTCGCAAGGCACTACACGATATGAAGAATGTAATACCATAGATATTTTTATAGCGATGTTTGAATATTACCGCAACATTGAAAATGATTCGAGCGGAGTCGAAACGTTGGTTTGTCGTTTTGTAATTATATGAATTTTATAATTAATTAAAGTTTGTTACTACATTATTACTGATTCTTTGCCCTTTTTTTGCATATATTATTTTATACTTACAGCCTTATTATTATTTATTGATATCTCAATATAATAAACTATTTTTTTATATCACTATCTTAATACTTTTATATACAGAATAATTAGAGGAATCATATTGTGTAAAAAAATTATACAATTCCATTTAAAAAAACGAAGTTGACCTTGAAATCCCTAAAGCGCTTCCACCTAAACAAAAATTATTATTACTAATATAATAGTTCTCTTTACGCCGTGTAATTTCAATTTTATTAAATGTTTCTCTACACCTTATAGATCAGAAGATATTTCAGGTGATAATAGTTCTTGAGACATCTTGTATAAACTGTATGCGGTCAGGACTTTTAGTATGATGTAAAATACGTTATTTCAAACAACTCTCTTATGACAAACAAAACTCTTATGACAATAGTACCTCCAAAAAATCTAATTTTCCTGGGCTATAAATATTGTTGCAATAATATTATATAAATGAATTTTTGTTTATTGGAAATGTTTTCTGGAATAGTCCTATCATATAAATAAAAAGAAGTAATAAATTTTGATTTGTTTTAATTAAAGTACTCAAAATTTTTTTGTTTAGTTTTAAATTATGTTCTAATATCGACTTTGAAAAATTAACATTTGCGCAATTATAAATCCCACTTTTAAAGTTCTTTGAATTTTTGGAA